TGGCTCTAAGTTCAGATCCTGCCACTGCCTCTTCCTGGCTGTATGATCTTGACCAGTCTTTTCTCTGTCTTCCTCTGAGGCCAGTTTCATCCATGTGAAAAGAGAACAGTTACTCCTAGTAAACTGGCTGGCTGTGAGCATTAAATGAGATACTCAGTGCATGAAAGCCTTCAGCATAGTGCCCAGTACCAGCCGGGTGCTCCCAACTGGAGCATCGCCTCTGATGAGTTAAAAGCAAGGCCACCTTTTATTCAGGCCTTAGAATGTACCAGGGAATGTGCTTAATGCCTTACACACATGAACATGATTAACCCTTGTGATGAGAAAAACAGCTTGTGTGGAAAACAATTTTGTTTTTCTGAGTCACTGCCTAGGCACTTTAGAGTATGATAACGCTACTCACACCCAAAGTCTGGTCAATTAGATAAGGACTTTAGTGTATGAGTCCCACTGTCACTTTCTGCTTTTACTTTTCTTGGGGCAACTTTAAAAATAAACCCTTAGAGTTAAGCCTGTGAAAACCCATGACTTCTGGCTCCATCACCTTTGAAGGAGTAGGTGCTTGCTCTCTATCCCCTGCTGGCTCGTACACTGGGACAGAGGATTATCCTTCCCTGCCTCATTGTATTCCCTGACCACCATCTGTAAATATAAATCCTGCGACTCTTCTTCCTTTGTGTGGGTATATTGAAACCAGACCCTCTATCAAAAACAACCCTGACGTGGAAGCTCAGATGCTAAGGGAGTTACCTGCCAACTTGTGTGAGTGGCTGTGCCCCCTCATTCAGAAGGTCATAATCTGCATATTCTCAGTTCAGTGCACCAGTTATGTACACCAGTGAGGGCCCAACACAGTCCTCACCATAATGCTGTGAGCTGGATAGCTGTTATTATCAACTCAGAAAACTCTGGACATTTATTGAGCACTTACTATTTACTAAGATTGTGCCACGTCTTTTATTATCCCTCTTTCACATTGGGGGAAGCTGAGGCTGGTGGCGACAAGGTCCCTTGCACAAGATCAGCCAATAGATGTCAGAGCCAGGATTTGAACCCTGAGAGCCTAGATTTCCACCAGATGCCTTATTCTCTTTATCAAGAAGGGCCTGTGCTATTTCCTCAGAGATAAGTAACATACACACCTCTGCCCTGGGGCAGCCTGCAGCTTTCCCACCAGTCCTCACGCTGTCCTGTGAAGTAGCCAAAATCATCCCTTTTTTTTCTTTCTTTTCCTTGTCTCCTCTTTTTCTCCCTCCTCTCCTCCCTTCTTTTCTTTCCTTTTTATAGTGAAATACATGTAACTTACAAATAGCAAAGTGCACACATCTTCAAGGTGAGATTCGTGAATGTTCGCCTGCATTTACACCCATGTCACCATCACCCCATCAAGACAGTATATCTCCACCCCGTGAAAGGTTCCCGTGTGCCCTCTTCCATCAGTAACCCCACCACCACCACCACTATTCAAAATTCTATTTTCATAGATTAATTTTGCCTATCTTGAAACTTCAGAGAAAAGCTTTCCCAGTTTTACAGTTGAGGAGACCAAGTCTCAAAGAGGTGAGCAGCTTGTGCCAGGTCCCCGTGTTTCTCAGTGGCAGAGCCAGCAGGTGAGCCTACATTTGTCTGCCACAGCCCTACAGGTCTTCTCATTGCTCTTGCTAGTGACAGAAGGAATCAGGCCCATGAGAGATCCCAGACAGCAGTGAATCCACAAAAAGTATTTATTTTCCCCTCCAGGTGGTCTGATTTCTGGCATGCATTCACCTTTTAAAGTTGGTTCCTCCCCAGCCAATAACGGTAGCTAGCCTTGGCAGGCTGCTGTGAGTGACGGCCATAGGCAGGCTTGCAGTGCTAGCTGACGGGGGCTGGAAGTCAGCAGCCCTGGGACGTTTGTCTTGACTTCATTGGGCAGGTGGCACAGGTGATCGAACCATGTTTATCCTGCAGGTTCTTCACGAAGCCATCTGAGAGTAGCCAGTTCTGGCCTTACATAACCAGGCTGGTCCCAAGCTCTGCAGGCCAGTGCGTTTTCCATCCCTCCCCAGCACTTCAGTCTCTTTGTTTTGGGTGGCACTGAGGAGCCTGGGCTCCGTGGGCTGGGAGAGGCCTCGTGGAGCCTCAAGGGTGAGCTCAGCCTGATGCCACACCTGGCATTCACCTCACTCTGTACTGAGGTCACCTCCAGAGGATTGCCAGGGAATGACATCATCCCACGTCTCCTCAGTGATGGGCACTCTCCCTACCTCCCAGGTAGGAAAGGTGAGTAGTTTCAAGGGAGAGTCTTGCTCTGCTGGGAAGGGAAGCTGGAGGCTCTCCCTAGGTGACCATTCTGTTAATCACCCCACAGTCTCATTACTCCACAACCTGCCAGAATTGCAAATCAAGGCTGGGGTAGAAATTGGGTGCTGAGGGCTGGGGAGGAGCCCTTGGCAGTGGAGAATCGGATCTTCCTGCAGCATAGCCTCCTGTGGTCCTGCTGCTGTTCTCCCACTGGCCCACTGGTTCTTCCTGTTCTCTGGCATGGGCCAGCCCTGCCTGTGAGCCTGCCCAGCATGGGCCCTGCCTGTCCTCTCCGGGCCCCTCATTTCCTCCCTTATCCTCATGCTGAGGATGAGAGGGAGGGGAAGGCAGTGCGAGCCCTGGAAAGCCTGGGGCTCAGGTGGAATGCAGACCTGGGTTGGGATTCTAGCTCTACCATTTCCTGCTATGTGTGACCTTGGGGGTGGGATTCACCTTCTCAGAGCCTCAGTTTCCTGGTTCTAAAATGGGGATCAGGACATTTCACAGGAGCACATGGGATGATGTGAACTCACACAGGTCAAGTCTGATTGGGCTTTTCCTGACCTAATGGGCTGGAAGCCCAGCAATCTGAAGCCTAAGCCTAATCTGTTGCTCTTTTGTCCTCAGGAACATCTTTGTGACCCCCATAGAGAACAAGTCCTGAGTTACTTTTTGAGCCCACCGTTTCTTGTTACTTGAGCACCAGCTGCATCATATGACATGCCTGGGGCACAAAGACAGGGACTTAGTGAAAACAAAATGCTTCTGTCCAACACATTCTTTCCCAAAGAAGTGCGCATTTACAAGACTCTCTTAAGGTCTAATTGTTTAAAGCTAGCAAACCTTCTTTAATTCAGCCTGTGAACAGGACCCAAGGGGCCTTATTAATGTTTAAAATAACCACAGCCTGGCCACTTCACTGCCCACTAGGGCGGGCCTTTAGCTTCAGTCCTTCTCCCCACGGGGAGTTATCTGGCAATCAGAAGTGGGCTTCCAACACAGCCATCTGATGTCCACTCAGTGGCTCCTCACAGATGCTTCCAAGACACTCGGAGCTCAGCACAGCCACATGGAACTCAGTACCTTTCCCTCCTCAGCAGTCCTACTCTTTTTCCAGGGGCTCCCAGCCCAGTGAATGCTACCAGAAAGAAACATGGCAGTCTGCCTGCATATCTTGCTCAATTACCCAACACCTTGTCCATCAGCAAGACCTGCCTGCTCTAGCACACCTTAGCCCACATCCCTGCCTCTCTCCTTTCCCACCGTGCCAGCTGAGGCCGCCATCTCTCACCTGCAGCACTGCAGCAGACCCCACCCTGTGAGGTGACCTCCTTTCAGTTCCCCAGACCGGCCATGCCCTTCCCTTTTCCCCTTCCAGGCCTTTGCACATTCTGCCCCAGGATTCTCCCTCCCTCTTTGCCAGGACAGCCTCCTCATCCTTCAGACCTGAACTCCCATCTCCTCAGAGAGTCTCCCCTGCACCCTCTCTGCAGGGGTCAGTCATCCTGTTGGTCCCTCTCATGACACTGCAGCTCCCTGTCCAGTGATCATAGTTGGTATAAGGAATCACTAGGGATGAGTGGGGTCTCTGTAAGCTCTATGAAGGCAGAGACTGCATCTGATTCCTCACTGTCTTTAACACTTGACAGGTAGTAGGGGTTCAAAAAATACTTGTTGAGTAAACACATGTTGCTAACAGATCCCAATGGGGTGTCGTTGTCCTTGACAGCCAGGTATCATGGGAGCCACCTGCCCCCAAACTATGCCTGCCCCAGCAAAGATGTCCATTTTCCTATCCTTGAAACCTGTGAATATGTTACCTTGTTTGGCAAAAGTAACATTACAACTATGATGATATCAAGGGTCTTGATATGGGGAGGTGATCCTGGGTTATCCAGATAGACAGGATGAAATAACTAGAGTTTTTATGAGAAGGAGTTAGGTGGTCAGAGAGAAGACAAGGTGCTCTGTGGCTGGCTTTGAAGATAGAGGAAGGGGCTGTGAGCTGGGGTGGCTTCTAGGAGCCAAAAAAAACAAAAAAGGCAAGAAAGCAGATTCTCCTCTGGAGCCTCCAGGAGTACAGCCCCATTTAGACTAAATGCAGACCCATTTAGACTTCCGGATTCCAGAAATATAAGATAATGAGTGTGTGTTGTTTTAAGCCATTAACTTTGTGATAATTTGTTACAGCAGCTGCAGGAAACTAATAGTCTAGTCTCATCTCAGACCCAGTGACTGCTCCAGGGCTGTGTGAGAGCTGGAACCCTGAGGACTTCCTAGTCAGGTGGGAGGGAGCCTTCAGAGATGAGGGAGTAAGACACCATGTGCCCATCCTTGGAGGGCCCACACTTCTCATTTTAGGTGTTCAGACCACCCATTAACAGTGGGGGTGGTAGCCTTATTTAACAGATGAGTTCAGAGGTAAAGTTATCTGCCTAAATTCACACAGGAAATGGCAGAGCCAGGATTGGAACTTGGATCTGTCTGACTGCACACTGTGTCCTTCCCCCATGTGCCATCCTGTCCCTAAGTGGTAAAGTCAGCATTGGAGAGCTCCAGGGAGCCTGCCTCCCTGTTCCTAAGCAGGCACAGGCTTCTCCCAGATGGGGTCAAGGTTATCTGAGCAGTGGTCCCAAGTGAATTGGCCCCTGCCTGTCCCCCACATCTGGGATGGGTGCCATCTTCCCAACAAAGGCTTCATTACTTGTCTCCCTCAGTGTGAACGAGCTCTACGTCGATGACCCGGACAAGGACAGCGGGGGAAAAATTGACGTCAGCCTAAATATCAGTTTACCTAATTTGCACTGTGAATGTGAGTATTCCCAGCAGCCCTCTACTCCACTAAGACCCTTCCTTTAGGCAGAGCTGTGTGTGCAGAAACGGCAAGGTAACTGGGCAAGTGCACAGGACAAGAAGCTACAAACAAGTAGCATAAGATTCTCCCCACTTTCTTTGTGGGGAGAATGTAATCAAATGTTCATGCATTTGGAGGTTATCTGGAATAAAAAACACAAGAAACTGCTAACAGGGGTTACCCCTGGAGAGTAGCCATGTTGACATGGGTGGTGACATTAGGCCAGGTTGCCAAGAAGCAGAGCCTGAGATTATCTGCAAGTGAGTATTGAGAGAGGGCTCTCAGAAGGAACTTGTAAGGGTGCGAAGGGGGTGAGAGGACAAGCAGAGACGTGTGTTAGGTTGAAGTCTAATTACAGCCCATGGCAAGCTGTGGTATGGGAATAACACCACAGTTTGTACCAGCTGGTAGCAAGAAGGCCTGTCTGTTACTATCTATGTCCTTGGCTAATGGCTGCAGGATGGTGTTGCAGGGAGAAGTGAAGGTCACATAACCTCTGGTTCATCTCAAGGCAGAGAAACCTCCAGCCAGCCAAGAGCAGCCACCTGGAGAAGGGTGCAGCTCTGAGCTGATAGTAGCCTTCAGGAAACTTCCTTTTTTAAAAATTTCACACTCTGTTTTTTTCATTTGTTTCAACCAAGAGAATGAATTACTTGTATAAAACAAAACTCACTGGAAGTTTGGTTTGGAGTTACATTCAGGCTTCTTTGCTCACTAAAACTATGTGATCCTGGCTAAGGTGACATCTCCAAGCCTGTTTCCTCACCTGTAAAATGCACCTAGTGCCATCTATTGCCTGAGGGTCTTAGGAGGATATGATGAGCTGGCTCCTAGACTGGTATTCACTCCCGGACTTGGTTCTAGCTGTCCCTCTCCCCCAACTGGCATGCAACCCGATGCAGGGCCACCTCCTCTTCCCACCCCCTCACTTCTTCCTGAAGGGCAGAACATTGAGTGGGCCTGAGGGCAAAGGTAGGGAGAGATTCAGCCCTGTTACTGCTTTGGTGAGAATTATGTCACAATTTTGAATACACAGTGGGCCCTGAGCCAGGAAACCTGTTGAAATAGGTTGGTTTTATTTTTATTTTTTCTCTTAGAAAAATAATTAATCTGGCAGCTTCTCATTCAAGAGTTGGCCATTTCTCTGGAACAAGGAAATTCTTAGTCAGGCCAGAGGACTGGGACCAGTGGGACAGGGGAGGGAAGGGATGTGGTTCCAGGCTCCATCCCAGCTCCAGGCAGCAGCCCAGGAGGGGCCGGGCAACCTCAAGCTGTGGGCTGTGCCAGCCCCCCAACCCCGCTGCTCCACAGGCCCATCACCTGAGCCTGGGCAGCTCCTGCTGGAGACCCACATCCTGGCTTTTGTTCAAAAGAACTTCACATTTTTATTATAGAAAAAAATGCATGCTCATCATTGTTCCTTTGGAAAATCCAAAGCAGCAGAGATAAAAGAAATGGCCCATAATTCCACCCCTGACAACAGTGTCAGCTGACAGTTGACGCCATTCCATCCTGTTGGCCTTCCTTTCTGTGCACTTCTAAACATGACTGAGATCAGGCTGCACGTACGATCTCACATCCTGCTTTTAAAAATAATATTTTTTGTTATACAACTAATAAAGGAATACATTTCTTATTTTTTATTTTTTAAAAAGATATATGTTCAAAATACAGGAATATATAAAGAAAAAAGTAAAGTAAAGATGTATGTGTTCCACAGCTTGCCCCAGAGGAAGTCTCTGAGAGCAGTTGGGACCCCTTCCCTCATTCCTTTGTGTCTGTCTGTCTGTCTACAAATACATACCATGTTTGAGTTTTGGTTTTTGGTTTTTTACATAATTGGGGCCCAAGTGCATGGGACCTTTCTGGGCTTACTTATTTTTTCCACTAATATCTTGGAGCTGTTCTTATATTACTCATAATATTAGTAAAATAATAACCACAGCTGCCATTTATTCAGCTTCTACTCTGGGCTAGGCCCTGTCCTGAATCCTTTGGCTGTGTTAGTGCATTAAGATGAGAGGTATTCTGGCAGAGTGGCCAAAGGGTGTGGGCTCTGGGTGGAGAGTCCATGAGTCCAATCCAGGCTCCATTGTTTCCTAGCTATGAGGCCTCAGGCATGTTACTTAACTGCTCTGTCCTTAGTGTTCCCCAGTACAGGACTGGTCTGATGGTATAATTCTCCCCCATGGGATGTTCCGATAATGCATTCTTACATAACGCACTTAGAAGAGTGCCTAGATCATACTGAGGGGTATTATGTTTAGTACACATGGTGTGGGGGTTCACGGGGAAAACAATGTAGCACAGAGAAGGCAAACAGTGAATCTGTGGCATTTTACTACACTGATGGACAGCGACTGCACTGGGGTATAGGTGGGGACTTAATAATATGGGTAAATGTAGAAACCACATTGTTTTTTCATGTGAAACCTTAATAAGAGTGTATACCAATAATACCTAAATAAAATTTTTAAAAAAAGGAGTGCCTAGATCATAGTAAGAGCTGTTTTCATTTTTTTAATGAAATTATCCATACAAGCCTAGAATAGAGGAGGAAACAGAGGCACAGAAAGGTTAGGTAACTTGACTGATGTCCCACAGCTAGTAAGGGGCAGAGCGTGGAGCTGCAGAGAGTGGCAGCCTGGAGCCCAAGCTCTTAGCCACTGCCCTGCTCGGAGCTGCCTCTCCCCACTGTGGATTTGGCTCATTCCTTGTGTCCCTGCTGCACAGGATTCCAGAGGGGGTTGTTCCACTGAGCAGCCCCCTGTTGGGAGGCAGGTGGGTTGCTTCCAGTTGTGATGATTTCTGGAAGATTGCTCCGAGCAGCCTTGCACACTCGTCTGGACATGTGTGCTTCTGGATGACAGGCTCCTGGGGCAGAACCGCTGAGTCCAACAGGGATCTGCTTCCATTTCTTTTAATCTGAGCATTACGGCGTCAGCATCTCCCACACACTGCAGACCTGGGAGCATCATTTTTAATGGCTGCATCACATTCCCTTCTATGGATAGGCACTCACTCACTTCCCCACCCCTACTGGGGAATACAGGTTGCTCCCATTTCCCCCTTTTATGGTTGGCTCACTTAAAATTGCTTCCAGCTGCTCTTTCTCTGTATTGCAATTTTTCTAGTGCTTCTTTCAGGGAAATTCCTGCATTTCCATAGTTTACAAGCCCCATGGACTGTGTTGGGGAGTGCAGTTGGCATGGGCCTGCCCATTTTATAGATTGGGAAGCTAAGTCACATAGTGAGGTGATGGAGAGTCACATTGGAACCAAGGACCAGGACTCGAGGCCCCAGGTTTCCCATTCAGGCCCTGAGGAACCCAGAGAAGTGCCCCAGTTCCTGGAGGGCAGGGCCTCGAGAAATAGACATTGGGTAGAGATAAGTGTGAATGAATGAATGATGAATGCCTATCCTGTTCACCCAATGAACCCAGAGACTACCTGAGACACATTACCTGCTGACATTTATTAAACACTTGCCACTTACTGTACCTCAGGCCTGCTTCTAAACGTTTTCTACACATTTTAACTATTTGATCCTCATAATTCTCCAGGGAAGATTTAATTATCATCACCCCCATTTTCCAAAGAAAGAAACTGAGGCATTGAGGGGTTAAGTGCCTCAGTTGCACAGCTGGTAAAAGGCAGGCTTAGGATTCAGATGACCTTTTAACCCCAAGCCTGTGCTGCCTCCCTGCAGCCTTGCATTCAGTGGGCCCATCACCCCTGCACCTCAAGGTTCTCCAACCCTGGCCCCCAGAACTGCTCTCTCCCTGGACTCTTTCCCCCTTCCTTTCCACCCACAGGCAGTGGCAGGGGCCAGGAACGTTGTGGGCTTGCTTCCTCTTAGGCCAGTGATCACTTTTGCCCCTTCACTGGCTGACTTCCTTTCTGTGGCTCTGGGCCCCAGACTGAGCTCCTGGAGGGCCTGGGCCCACCTGGCCATGGAGTGGATGCAAGAGGGGTCCTGAGAGGAGGATGCTGTTGTTCTGCGTGTCTGTGACTCTCTTCTCTCCTTGGCTCCCACAGTGGTTGGGCTCGACATACAGGATGAGATGGGCAGGCATGAAGTGGGGCACATCGACAACTCGATGAAGATTCCACTGAACAATGGGGCAGGCTGCCGCTTCGAGGGGCAGTTCAGCATCAACAAGGTATGGAGACACTTCATGGGCCCCTGTTACCTGCTCCCGTTACCTGCTCCCCATCCATTTGACCCCTTTCCTACCCAGAAACCAGATGGCAAAACAGGAATGGCAGAGCAGTTGTCTACTGGCCCCTGCCTAGACAGAGCCCATGGCAGGCTGAGCATCCTGCTGAGAATCTGGGTGGAGATTCCAGGCCCCCGAGGTTTGGAGCCTCTGCTGGATGCTTCAGAAAGGGGCTACTCTTCTCCCCAGCGGGGAAGGCAGCAGCTGATGAGAAGGCTGTGAGGTCTGTGGCCTCGAGCACCCCAGCTTTGCTTTTCCTTGGCTAGGCACTGCCCTCCAAGTCACTTGACCCTTCAGTTTTTACATCTTCAGTTTGAAGATGTGATGATATAATGATAACCATCCACTTCACAAAGTTTGAGGAGTAAATGAGCTATTACACATACATTAAAAAAACTTCTGTGGAACACCGTCTGCATTCCAGAGTGGGCTTTGGGCTCTGAGGCAATGCATGGAATAGGTGGGCAGACTTCCTGCGCTGGTGGAGCTTCCTTTCCTAGTGGAGGCAGACAGACAATATGCAAACTGAAAAGCATTTAAGTGGGTGGTAATGGTGTGATAAGGAGTAAAGCAGAGGAGGAGTGATTGTGGTATGGGTTCAAAAAGACCTGGTCTGCTCCAGAGGCTATTCGTCGTTTTGTTGCTAGAACCAGAAACTTCAAATTCTAATTCAAGGGTGCAAGTGCGGTACCTTTGGGAATGCCAAGGAACCCAGCAGGAGCCCACAGAGGTTGCTCTGCACATGCCCCACTCTCCCAGCTCTTTTTATGTACTACCACAGTGGAGCTTCTCGACAATGCAATGAGGTGGCACCATTCTACCAATGAGGAAAGTGAGACCCAGAGAGGTTTAGTATCTTGCCCAAGGTCACATAGGTGTCCCATATCCCACAATTTCCCTTTCCAGTCCCGGCCAGACTGAGCCACTGGCCAGTCCTGGCTTCTGCTTGCCCTATGGTAGCCTCTGCTCAGAACACCCTTTCTTTAATTCCTGACATGTGAATAAGCAGTTGTAAACTCACTGGCCACAACCAGCCCAAAGACAAGTTACATCTGTCCTGTATAGCATCCAAACATATCAGAGCCTATATCGAAAGACTGGGAATCCAGATTTCTGGCTTTTCAAGAGGCCTTTTTCAGAGGCTAGCCACAACTGGCAACAATGATCTAGAGCCAAGGGGCCTTTTAGACAGGGTGTGCGCCTTCCCTTCCCACAGGTACTGCTGGGTGGCTGCAAGGCTGCGGTGGGACACTGGGATGACAAGACCTCTCTCTCCGTCTCTCTCTGCCTGGTAGCAGGGCCTCTCCTCTCCATGTGGCCTCTCCTCTCCATGTGGTGTCTCCGTATGGTCTTTCTAGTAGAGTGGACTTCTGCGACAGCTCAGGGCTCCCTTACGTGTTAAAGCAGAGAATGTCACTTCTGCCACATTTTATTGGTTAAAGTAAGTCATGTGCCAGCCCAAGTTCAGGGTGGGAGAGGCTACCCAAGGGCACGGGTGCTGGCAAGCATTGTTCATGGGGGCTCTTAAGCAGATTGGCTACCACACAAGGTCTTTGCTGTGCCCCATGATTTAGATTTTATGGTGATTGTGATGAGAATGCATTTGAGGATTTTAAGCAGGGAAGCAATGCCATTGGATTTATGCTTAAGAACTATGCTATCTAACACAATAGCCATTAGCCACATAAGGCTATTTAAATTTAAGTTCATTAAAATTAAATAAAATGAAAAATTCAGTTTCTCAGTCCCACTGACCACATTTCAAATGCATAATAGCCACATGTGGTTGGTGGCTACCATACTAGACAGCATGGATAGAGAACATTTCCATCATTAGGGAAGGTTCTACTGGACAGCAAAACTTTAGAAAGATGACTCTGACAGCCGCGTGGGGATATTCTGAAGGGGCCGAGAGCAGAGGTCATGGGCAGTGGCTGCGCAGTGGAGCTGGAGAGAAGTGGCCAGATAGGGATGTGGAGTCAAGGTTGGATTAGATATGGGTGGTGAGGCAAGAGCAGAATCAAAGAAATCACTTAGATTTTTTGTCTTTACAACCAGGTGGTCCCATACTCTAGATAGGGAAGCTTGGGAAAGCGTGGCTTCTTGGGGAGTGCGGCTGGGAATCAGTAGTTCACTTCTGGACACGTTTTCTTTGGGATTCCCATTAGAGATGTTAAGTTGGGAACTGGATGTGTGTTGTTGGCATTCAGGAGGGAGTTCTGGCTGGAGATGTAAATGTGGGGGTCATTCGTGAATAGGTGACACTGGCAAGTCGTTCAGTCTAGGTCAGTGCTACTCAAAGTGGGGCCCCCAGACCAGTAGCGTCAGCATCAGCTGGGAACTTACTAGGAATGCAGATTCTTAGGCCCTACCTCAGATCTCCTGAATATGTGATAACAAGCCCTCCAGGGGATTCTGCTGTCTGACATTAGAGGATCATTGGTTTAAGCAAGACCACCTCAGGAGAGGATGTAGAACGTTGTTCTAAACTGGAGTCTGCAGGCATCCCAAGGGGTGCAGACTGAATTCAAGGGGTCTGAGAACTTGGGTGGGGATAAAATGACAAGCTTATTTTCATTAAGCTCTAACTGAAATTCAGCATTTTCTTCTATGATGAATGTGGGCAATAAGCCATAGTAGTGTTAGCAGCGCCCATGACTTTGTCACCAATAGAAACTGCTGGCATTTTTATCACGTTAAAATCGTCGCAGATAATTTTGAGATGCTGTTTACATTCATCACTACTTTGAAATTATAGTAATTGGTTGACCCATAACCAGGTCTTATTATTTGCTGCATTAATAAAGAAGCATATTCAAATATGTTTTTTATATTTTAATTATTTAAATACCATTTATTTCCTAATATAATAATCCTATGTATTTTATGCAGTGAAAGCATTTTAAGCATTTAAAATATAGGGGTCATAGACTACCAAAGGGTCCATGGCTCCCAAAATGTAAGAACCTAAAATCTGGGGCGCTCCAGTGTGTAGGAGTAGGACAATGAGTTGGTGACAGAAGGAGGATCAGCAGCCGGGCAGGAAGGAGGAAACCAGGGATGGGCGGGCCCTGGAGTCTAGAGGGAGGGGTCGGGTGCTGCTGTGAGGACAGGTGGACCACTGACCCGTGAGCTTCAGGGAAAGCCAGTGACATGGGAGAGAATGGGGCTGCTGTACTGCCTAGTCCTTGCAAAGCAAAGCAGGTGTGGGGCCCAGGCACAGTGGCAGGTTGTCCTTGGAGAGGAGGGAGAGCAGAGTTGTGGGCTCCGTGCATGCCGGTGGGTGAATGATTGGCAGCCCAGGCTCCAGCTTGGCCTCCAGTGCCCTCTCTTGGCTGCTCCCTAACAGGTCTCATTGCTGTGGGCCCCTCCCCTTCCCGTAACCCCCTCTTCTGTCACAACCCTTAGTTGCTCTTGTCTCTCCCACTTCCTAACTTCATTTGACCCTCACCCTGCCCCCCTGCTAATTCACTCATGCATGATGCTACTGAGTGCCTACTGTATGCCTGGATGCAGTGCTGAGAGAAGCAGCTGTGAACCCTGGCCTTGTGGTACTTACAGTCTATTATGGGGTGACAGCCAACCCACAGTTAAACAAACAAGCAAATGTTTAAGTTTGATGAAGCGGTTGTGAAGAGAACGAAGGGGGTGTTATGGTGGAGAATAAAGAAGGACACCCACTGAGACACAGTCCTAAGGGAAGACCTGTCTGAGGGATGGCAGTTGAAGAGGAACAGACACACAGGCACAGCTCTAATAGTGGGGGCCTCCTCTAGGAGAGTATGATCCCTGGGTTAAAAAAACATGCATGCCCTGTGAATGAGGAGGACCACGTTTACTCAGCACCTAGCCTGGGTTGGGCACAGGAGAAAGAGGGTGACCACCCAGGAGACAGCCCAGTGCCACACCCTCCTGCCATTGTCCAACATGTCCACGACTGCGTTCGGCTCCCCTCAGACAGGCTGTTGAGGGGCTCCCAGCTGGTTCTGGGTGAATTGGAACCTGCTCTTTGGGGTCAGACAGTCCTGGGTTGAGAATCCTTGCTACAACGGTCACTGGTTAAATGCCTCTGAGAATTCAGCCTCTCTGAGCTTCGGTTCCATCATCTGTAAAATGGGGATAATAATACTGCCCTCATAAGTTGTGAGACATGAACAAATTTAAATGTGGAAAGCACTTAGAGCAGTGGGATGGGGACAGACCTTGGTGCCCCTTCCCTGGCCTGCCGCATCGCCCATCAGTGGCATTGTCCATGATCTCATCAGCTGGCACTCACCATCAGCTGGGAGCAAATGTGCTGGGAAATGGGTATGAATCGCCCAAGCAATGGGTCTTCCGTGGTTGCAGTGGGCCAGGGATTTGAGGAAAGGGTCATGCCAGCTTTCACCTCACGGCTGCTGCCTATTGGATTCTGCCCTAGGCCTTTACCCACAGTAACTCACTTAGTCTCTGCAACAGCCCTGAGGACACGGAGGCACACGAGATGAAGTAGCCTGCTCTAGGGGCTGCAGCCATGAGTTGAACCCAAGCAGCCTGGCATCAGGGCCCCTGCTCCTTCCCTATGTCCTCCTGGTGCTTCTTTTGCCAGGGTTGTGGTCGTATGAGCTGTGACCAGTTGAATCCATTCACTCCAGGTCATGGCTCAGGCCACCCTGTGCCCCCCAACTCTTCCTAATTAAGGGTTCATGCCTTCTAGGGCTCTGATTCAAGGGGTGCTCAGATAAGAAAGCCAGCAGCAACAGCATGGTGACAGGTATGGTCTGCAGCTGGCCCTCGCCCCTTAATCTAGCATCAGGGTCACCTGTGCCCCTTGGCCTTTGTCCATCCATCAGGAAGTTGGCCTTCAGTCAGATGTCAGAGTTCCTGTGTTTTGAGCTGCACTGGCAGCCCCAGCAGCCTGACTCCTCGCTTAATCACCCAGCCCCCCAGAAGGAGGACAGAATGGGCTGGGGTTTGGAGCCTGGCTGCCTCTATATGTTTTTAAAATCCATCAGAGACACTGACGTAGGTTCCCAAGTCACAGGCTCTAAAAGTGTCATCTTTTCTTTCTTCAGCCCCACGTGTGCTGGCATGAGTCAGCCACCTAGGATGGAGTCCTTGGGGAGAGGGAGTGGATCACTGAGTCACAGTCTCTCAGGGTGGCAGCGGGTGGCAGCACGCGGGAGCGTGCCTTTTTAACTCTCTGTACTCTGGGAGCTCCAGGCCCAGGCCCCAAACCGGATTCTGAGCTCTGCCCGTGGCCTGGTCCACAGGAGGCCCTGTGTCACTGCATAGAAAAGATCTGAAGGACACATGCCAGACACTCGTGGTTTCTTCCTTTGGGGGTGGTAGGCAGTGGGGACTATAGTCCTGACTTTACCATGTGCATTTTTATAATACAAGTGTATCCAGATATTATTTATATATAAGTAAAAAAAGGTTTTTAAATACAGTGAGCTTTTCCCCATGCCTTGCCTGCATATACACTGTTCCTTCTCCCAGGAGAGCCCTTCTCTCTGAGCTCCCATGACAGACATGTTCAGCCTACAAACCAACCCAGTAACAGCTGCCCATCAGCTTCGCACTCATCACCTCATTTAATTCTCCCAATTGCCCTTTGTGGTTATCATCCCCATTTTGTCGATGGCGAAACTGAGGCACAGGGTGATAGCTGACCTTGCCCAAGGCCCCCCTTCTAGGAAATTGGGGCCAGACCAGAGTGTAAAACTCAGCTGCTGCTCTACCACTGGGCCCCTGCAGCTCAGCTCCCAGACGCCATTCCACACACGGTAGGCTCTGAGCTTGCTGAGGCTGGGCCATGCCCCCTCAGCCTGGTACCTCCCACATCATTCCAAAGCTCAGGCCCTAGAGAAGGCAGAATAGTCCTGCAGGAAACTCACACCTTATGTTAAAAACCGGCATGCTTACAAAATAAGCAGACTCTGACGGACTGCTGCTAGCCATCAGCCATATTCCTTCCTCTAATGCAGTAAACTTTCATTGGACTGGAATACAATAAACTCTGAGTTTTTCAGAGTACATCTGGGGCCTTTGCCAAACAGCCCCACCTCCCTCATGCCTCTTTGTTTCCTGCCACTGCCACCTCCCAGGCTGCTCTTTAATTCAGCATTCAATGATACCTGTAAACTTTCATTGGACTGGAATACAATAAACTCTGAGTTTTTCAGAGTACATCTGGGGCCTTTGCCAAACAGCCCCACCTCCCTCATGCCTCTTTGTTTCCTGCCACTGCCACCTCCCAGGCTGCTCTTTAATTCAGCATTCAATGATACCAAACTTCAAGTTCCTTACTGCTGCCCACCAAGTGGGCAGTTTTGGACCACCACCTTTGCTCATGCCCTTCCCTCTGCCCAGATGCCCTTCCCCCTATAGGGCGGCCTCATCTTCAGAGCCTTAGCACAAGGGGATCCTTTCTACTAAGAAGCCCTGTCTGAACACCCCCAGCTGAGTTAGGGGTCCTCCTCATGACCCCCACAGTCTGTTCATCCTCTGGTCCAGTTTGGATCACACAGTCTCATTTTCTGTTCCAAGTCTATGTCAGGCAGGCCAGGGGCTCCTCCAGGGCCAGGCTCTTATCTGGGTCATCTTCCCAAACCTGGCACATCCTGAAGGATGGGCTTCCTGTGGCCATCACCAGCCCAGGGCTGCGGGGGTAAATGGGCCAGGCGTCAAGGAAGGGAGCATCCTGTCCTGCTTCAGTATGCCGAGTCTGGAGTCCAACAGAGATGAGTTTGAACTGCAGCTCTTGGCATGTGACATTAGTAACTTTCTTTACTGCTCTGAGCTTCAGCCTCCTTTTCTGAAAAATGGGAATTACCAGCTGTCAAAGTCAAAAATGCTGTTTTAAGGATTAATGCCATTCATTTGTTTGTTCATTCATCCAATACTTGTCTTTTGAGCACTTGTCATCTGGGGTATACAGCATCAAATAAGACAAAATCCCTACCATCGTGGAGCTGATGTTCTCATGGGAGGAGAAAGATGAGAACTAGATGAGGGTAAAGTGGCAGGTGATGTTGAGTGCTTCAGCAGGGTGGGGGCGGGGTGGGGTTTGGGGCAGGGGGGCCAGGAGGGTCCTTGAGCAGAGGCCTGAGGGAAGCAAGGGAGGGCCATGTGGAAGAGGCTTCCAGGAAGGGGGCATGGGCACAAAGGCCTGAGGGGGACCATGGTGGCACCGTTCCCAGGGCAGCAGGGAGGCCAGCACCACCAGAGGGAGGGAGCAGAGGAGGACATGAGGATGTGGCTTCAACTCAAGAAAAGGGAAGCCTTGGAGGATTCCAAGCAGAGGAGTGACACAGTCAAATGTAGGGTTGGAAAGGACCCCTCTGGCTGCTGTTGGGGAAAGGCCTAGGGGTGCCAGTGGCTGGAGCCGGGAGCCCACTGGAGAAGCTGCCAACACTGTCCAGTCAGGGAAGCAGTGAAGTCTTGAGAAGGTCATCCTGGGCGTCTTGAAGGTGGGGCTGACAGCATTTCCCAATGGGGAGGAGATAAGGTATGAGAAAAACAGGAGGCTAGCAGGGCAAATTTAGGAGAGTGATGCTGTTGACTTGGAGATCGAGGAAGTTCCGTTGGTCTGCAGGCCTCAAGGTCATCACTTGGCCCACCACGGGCCAGCAGCCAGGGAGCTGATGGTGGGCAGTTGCCATTTCGAGCCCTGGCCTTGTGCCATGTGCCCAGCTGAGGGCTTCACTTGCATTCTCTTACCCCAAAGCTCCAGCAGCCCCCTCTGTAGCCCCATTCTACAGATGAGGAACCTGAGGTTCGAAGACAGGCGGTGGCTCCTCCAGAGTCCTACCGCTTAACCAAGCTGGGATCCGAACCCAGATCTGTGTGACTCTAAGGCAACGACCTGCACCCCACCCTCTGGGGCAGCCAGCCCGACTCCTGAGGCTTGCATCTCTCCCCCAGGTCCCAGGCAACTTCCACGTGTCCACGCACAGTGCCACAGCCCAGCCACAGAACCCGGACATGACCCATGTCATCCACAAGCTCTCCTTTGGGGACACACTGCAGGTGAGTGGGGCATACTCAAAGTGGGGGTCTGGAGGGGTACTTACAGGGGTTGTGTCAACCCAAAGCCTCTGTCCTCCATGGACACAGAGAGATGTCCTCCAGAGGTGTCACTCGCTTTGACTCTCTGCTCCATCCACCAGCTCTTGTTTGTCATTCCTCCTGAGGGTGGGCCTGCAGTCTCATGGACAGTGCGCTGCACTTAGAACCTCGGTTGAGACCAGGGGGCTCGCTTGTCCTGAGCAAGGATTAAGTGCTAGTGCTTTCTCCGTGAAGTAGGAAGAGGCCAGGGAAGCCATTTGTCCAGGTCCCCCAGCAGACCTATTCAACTTGAGTCTATCTAGTCCATACCCCTCCATGGCCCTCCCCGCCTTATAGCTCAGGGCTGGTGCCCTGAGATAAACAGGGCTAATGTGGCAAGTGATGTGCTCTGGGAACCATTGTTAGATTGAGGGGCTGCCTCTAACAGGCCCAGGCCCACAGTTTTTCACTCTTTTCCACAATGCAAAGGAACCCCACCCTGACCAACTGACCTCTGCTGGCCAAAGGCCAGGGAGCTGTGAGGCTTTCTCTCCTCCACCCACCGTCAGAGGCCTGAAGGTAGAGTCCGTTACACCCTATTTGACAAAGAGAATTGGGCCTTAGAACAGGGAAGTGACTGCTCCAGCCGCAGTGCTGGGATTGGGAACCTGGGTCCTGACCCCAAGCCTTGCTTGAGAATCCTGTTTCCTGGTTGAGGGTGCTGGAGGGTGGGGGGTCCTCCAGGCATGGTGACATACACGGGGCTCATACAGTCCCACAGCACACACACTTATACGTTATACCACTTATGTGCACACACACCTGCTCAGACTCAAACACATACTCATGAGACATGCAAAGATGTGCGCTGACATATGTGTGCTCATACATATATCCTAAGAGCCATCCTTAAACATACCCCACAGGTGCATACAGACCCTTGCACAGACGCTGCACACACACACACACACCTGGGTGTACTCACAAGCATTTCCCCACCACATGTACACACCCCACCCAGAGACACACACAGACTGTCCCAGGCTGGCACATCTCACATACAGACGTACCCACATATACCATTCCCTGTTCACACATGCATGCTGCACACATCTGCTTGTGACAAGAACACCTGATGTTGGTTGAATGCTTCCTGTGGGCCAAGCACTGTCTTTTACAAGCACAACCTTCTTTTACTCTCCCAGTGGCCTAAGAGGTGGGTATTTTGTTGTCTCCACTTTCCAAATGAGGAAACGGGCACAGAGAGGGTGCAGTCTGCTCTAGGGCTCAGTCATCACCTTTTCAGCCCCTTTGGAGGCCCCAGAGGTTTTCCTTAGGAGCAGAGAAGGCCCAGCCTTCCATGGTCCAGACTCCCTGTCTACACGTGGAGAAGGCCCCACCCTGAGACTGTGGACTCCTTTTCTGCAGGCGAATTCACACAGGATTTGCCACCCACCCTCTTCCCTCTCTCCATCCAAGGGGCTGTTGTGTGGAGGATCCCCTGCCTGCCTTTCTGGGTTCAGATCCTGGCTCCACCACTGACTAGTTGTGTGACCTTGGACAAATTACTTTTTCTTGCCGACCCTCAGTTATCTTGTCTGTAACATGGGGACAGCAATAGTAGCTGTCTCATAGGACTATGGTGAAGATAAATGGGCTAAAGCACCTAAAGCTCCTAGATCAATGGCCGGCATAGAGGAGGGTGGTCCAGGAGCTGGGCTGTCACCATTGTTACTACCTGTGCGCACACTCTGTGCCAGGCCCTGCAGGATAGAGCATGCTGCCAGCCCTCAAGGGGCTCACACAGCCACAGAGGGACGGGGGCTTACAAACCCCAGGCAGGCAGTGGGCAGAGCACAGCCCACGTGCTGAGCTTTGGACAGCACCCTGGTGGCCAGTACCCCCACCAGCTCAGCAAACCCTCACAGCGGCCCTGAAAGTGAGGCACTGTCAACCCCACGTACACGTGGGGAGACTGATACCTGCAGTCGCGAGTCCGGGATCATGCAGATCTGCAGAGCCAGAATTCCAACCCAGTCTTTGCAGCTCATATACTCCTTCCTCATTGGAACCTTTGACCCCTTCTGTTCCTTCCCTAGAGGACAGCGATGTAGACAATGCCTTGCGTCCTCTTCACAGCTCGCTCAAGGATGCTGGATGGGATTTCTTTTTCCTGATGAGGAACCTGGGTCAGAGAAATTCAGCCCCAGGTCTTCCTTTGCAATGGATCCATGAGACCCTTCCCAGATTTCTGCTCTGTGCCAGGCCCTGGGGATAGAGGGATGGACAGACAACATAGTGTCCTCCCCCTCAAGTGAAGAAGAGATCAAATGTAAATAAGCATGATAACCTAGGGCAAGGGCTAAGAACAAGAGAAGCATAGGGTTCTGTGCAGTGATATGGGGACAGGGACAGGCTGCCCCCCAGCCTGGGAGGTCAGGGAAGGTGACCTCTAAGGTGACATCTAAGCCAAGCCCTGAAGGGTGAGAAGGATTTGGCCAAGCACAGGACAGAGAAGTCTCATGGGCAGGGGCTTCTTACACATCTCCCATTCCATGACACCCTCAACCGGTCATTTTCATATAAAAGAACCTCAAGTTTACTTACAGAAAAAATGGATCAGCAAGTGTTCACAACACAGAACGCTGTTCTGTACGTGAGATGGCAGAGGCTGGGGGATGAGAGAGAGTTCATCAGAGTCAGCTGAGAGGGCTGAGAGTGTCCACCGGGAGGGGTAGCGCAGAGCTAGGTGTTATGTGTGGTGAGAGACCTGTGTTAGATTTGGGAAAGGGGGCTGACCAGGGCAGGCTGGTGGCTCAAAGCACCTATCTGCTGTGTTTTACATGGGCCCATGGGGCAAGACTGGGGAAACAGGTGAGAGAGGCTGTGGCCAGGCCCAGGGGAGACGAGGCAGGGGAGCTGGGGCAGGGAAGAGAGACGGGGGAGGGAGAGGGAGCAGTTGCTCTGGGCCACTGGCAATACAGAAGGACAGTAGCAGCCTTCTGCTTAGTCATTGTTATGGTGGAAACTTCATTTTCCTTAAATGTAAAAACTTAGCTGAGGGTCCATCTACCCATCTATTACCCACCAGTATTTATTGAGCACCTACTGTGTGCTGGGCCTTATGCACATTGGTGAGGCTCCTGCCCATGTGGAGCTTATGGTCAAGAGGGGAAGACAAGGTAGTCAGATAATCACACAAATGAATGTGAGGGGACCATGATATGCAACAGTGGAAGGGAACATTCTAGCAATCTTGTCTTTGTAAACCAGTCAGAGGTTAGAAACCAGACTTCAGACTGTCAATCCCAGGACAGCAGTGGACACATTTTCCTTTCCTTTGGGTTTGTTGAGAGCTTGCGGTTCTGTTAAGTACTCAGTGAACATCAGCCACCTGAAACTAGGAGTAGGAGTCAGGTCACCAGCTGCTGACCACTTGTCCTGGAATGGCCCTCTCTGCATAAGCCTGTCCCCACCTACCTTTCTAACCTCACTCTGTCCCACTCTTCCCCACTTCCTCTCTCGTCTTAGGGCCACATGGGACCCTGCCTGTTCCTCAGGCTCCAGTCTCATGCCTTTGCATGTGCTTCTTGCCTGATTAACTTCCCACTTTCCTACAGATCTTGATGTTAATGTCACTTCCTCCAGGAAGCCCTCCAAGGCTGTCTATCTCAGCACCCCTCTTATGCACGTCCATGGTGGCATGCCCCATGTACCATGTGGGCCTTGTCCTGCTGTAGATTCTCCTTAAGGCTGACCTTCTTTCCCTTCTTCCTCAGAGAAGAGACAGGCTGTTCCTTCAGCCCCACTGTGCAGCTGCCACGAGGAGACATCTCCTCAGCACTGTTGTATATTCTCCACAGCAGACATTGCAGGAGGCAAGCAGCCCTGGGTTCTTTACAGAGGGCTGTGGGGATCTCACAGGTTGCGTGCTGGGACCCAGAACCTTTCCTTGTGTTTTCTAAGTGGCTTAATGGAAAGAGCTCAGGATGGAGATCAGACAGACCTGAATTCAGAATTTGGCTCAGCCACTTATCATCTGTGGGATGCTGGACAAGTTCAGGTGCTTCTCCAAGCCTTGCTCTGCTCTTCTGTAAAGTGGGCTCAATGGTACATTGTTAGGGACATTAAATGAGATGACACAAAGTACCCAGGACAAAGTGGCACCATAGGAGGTGCCCAAGATGGGAAGCAAGCTAGTACCTACCACATGCCAGACCTATGCCATGTCTGTATCTTGTTCCCCCACAACTTGTTTACAAGACTGACCATGCTGGGTCCCCATTTTATATATGGATAAGGCCCCTAAACCAGGTTGTACCTGGCCAGCACTCACGGCCAGGGCCAGGCCTGGAGGGGGCAGCATCTTGGGGTCAGTCCCCTCACTGTGCTTCTCCACAGGTCCAGAACGTCCATGGGGCTTTCAACGCTCTTGGGGGAGCAGACAGACTCACCTCCAACCGTATGTATCCAGTGTCCCTATCCTGACTGGGAACAGCCTTCTGCCCTGGGATTCCCAGTGCAGTAGAGAGGGAAAGGGGGAGAGGAGAGGGAACCTTTACGAAGCACTCCATTAATGTATTAATGCTTCATTCCCACAGCTAGCCTGTAAGGAAGGTGGAATTATCCCTATTTTACAGAGAAGGGAAAAAAAGCGACTTACCCTCAGGAGAGTATGCGACAGCCCTGGGTCCCTCGTACATGCTCAGTGGATACCAGCTATTAATCATCAGTGGTCATCATTAGTGCCCATAATTGTGCTTAGTTGAGCTAATCGCCTCAGATCCTGCAGGGAGTGATGGCCCAGCCAGAATCCATCAGCTCCAGTGGCAGCACTAGAACAGGGCTCTGGGTGGCTTGCTCAAGTCTGACCACTTGTGCCACATTTCCCACCCCACCCTGTCCTCCTCCCTGAGCTCTCTCCCCCTCAGCTGGCTGGCCCCCTGGCCCAGATTAAAGGGGGCTCCACATCTTTACACGCTGGCAGAAGAGCGTACACACCTACACACATGCATGCATGCATACCTGGGGCCTTGGGCGTGTGCACAGAATGGGCCAGGGAGGCCTGTCTGCTCAAGTGGATCCACCCACTAGATACTACAGGACAGGTTACCTTGGCTTTTCTTATTTCTTAAAATCTGCCCCCTAATAGTAAGAAATTAAAGCAAAAGAAATCAAGTTTTTCATTTCTCTTTGCTCCTGTGAATCCTTGTCCATGAGTAGAAGTCAGTTTTTCAGAGCATAGCCAGCAGTTGACCTTCTGATAGTTGTACTTGGCATTGTTATGTAACAACAGTCTACAGTTTTTCCAATACAGTAGTAGAGGCACGGCTGCCCACTAGCAGCTCTGCCATGCTTTATTAAGCCATTGTCTTTTCAAGAGAAATATCTATTGCTTTGTTTATTGTTACAGTAATGGCTCTGATATTTATGGCATTTGTTTTACATTAATTATGCCCCTGCCTTCCAGCTAGGTGCACGCCCATTCATACCGCCTCCCACAGTGTATGAGTATACACCAGTACCTCCAGGTACTGTAAATTAGTTCAACCATTGTGGAAAGCAGTATGGAGGTTCCTCAAAAAACTAAAAATAGAAATACCATTTGACCCAGGAATTCCACTCCTAGGAATTTACCCTAAGAATGCAGGAGCCCAGATTCAAAAAGACATATGTACCCCTGTGTTTATTGCAGCACTATTTACAATAGCCAAGAAATGGAAGCAACCTAAGTGTCCATCAGTAGATGGATGGAGGAGAGGATTCTTTATATGGTGGCATAGTCATCATAGTTCTGTGTAAGGGCACCAGGTTGTCCCTGGGTAGCCGTCCACTCGTGCTTGCAGTTAGCATGGACCCCTCAGCTCTCATACTGAAACAGGATCAAGCTAGGAAGGACCCAGTGTGTGCCAGCTGATGGAGGCTGTGGCTAGAAAACCTTGCCTGCTCTGGGGCTAGAGATGAAAGCCATCTCAGGCTGACTTCAGTGGAAAGAAAAATGTGTTCAGTCAAGTAACAGACAGCCAGAGGCAGGGCTGGCTGCCTTCCTCATTTCCTCAGCTCTCAAGCCCAGCTTCCACACGCGGCCTATGCCTTTATGAGTCTCTCTGCTCCCAGATCTTCTCGTAAGAACTGCTTCTTGTCATTTAGATCTCAGCTCAAATGCCACCACCTCAGAGAGGCCCTCCTTGACCACCTTATCTAAAGTAACCCGACTTCTAATAACAAACCTGTTGTTCTTCCTCACACAGACCACTCTCTTTGAAGATCCTGAGGAGTGACTGTTGATGTGTTAGCTTTGATGATGGCATTGTGGTTATTGTGGGTCGTTTTGTTATTTTTTAAGTGTCTTTGTCTTTTATGGACCCATAACTAAAACATTTGTGGATGAATTGATGTGAAGTTTGGGATGTGCTTCAAAAGAAAATGGGAGAAGAACAGTGGGGTAGAGATGAAGCAAAATTAGCTGTGTTTTGTTAATTGCTGAAGCTGGGGGATGGGTACATGGGGGTTCATTATACAATCCCCCACTTTTTATATGTTTGAGTTTTTCCATGCTAAGATGTTTGGAGAGGGGAACAAGCAGCGCCTAGGAGGGATCAGCTGACAAGGAATCTATGTAGGCATTTGACAGATTACATCAAAGGCCTTAAAAATGGTCATTGCTTTTGAGTCATCAATTATACTCAAAGGAGAGTAAGCTAGGGAAATAAGAGTGTGCAAAGATTTAGGAAAATAACATTCATTAGGTCATTGTTTATGAGTGAAAATGAGGAACAGCGTCAGTGTCTAGCCACAGAGACTTGATTGAGTTCATTGTACGTGGCCATGCTGGGAGATGCATGCAGGCACTGTCCATGATGTGTCAGAACCTCATTGGATTTCAGGCAGCAACATGTATTGAGCAATTACTATGTGGTAGGCACTGTGCTAGGGATATGGCAGTGAATAAAACAAACATTGTGGAGTTTACGTTGTGTGTCTTGGACCTGAAATGGTATCTGTGATGCTCAATTCTTAGAAAAAGGTACAGTATGATCCAATTTTAGGAAAACATATATATAAATATAAGTCTGGCAGGTTATACATAAGAATGTGAACCCATGGTTTTCTGTGATGGTCGATTTGTGTACAATTTTTTTTCTTTATGATCATCTGTGTTTTATACAAATTTCTTTTTCTTTTTTTTATTATGATATCATTAATATACAGTCACATGAGCAACATTGTGGTTACTAGATTCCCCCCATTATCAAATCCCCACCACATACCCCGTTAGAGTCACTGTCCATCAGTGTAATAAGATTCTATAGAGTCTTCCCTGTGTTATACTGCCTTCCCCATGCCTGCCCCCCCTACATTATGTGTGCTAATCGTAATGCACCTTATTCCCCTTATCACTCCCTTCCCATCCCCCACCCACAGTCCCTTTCCCTTTGATAACTTTTAGTCCATTCTTGGGTTCTATGAGTCTGCTGCTGTTTTGTTCCTTCAGTTTTTGCTTTGTTTTTATACTCCACAGATGAGTGAAATCATTTAATACCTGTCTTTCTCCACCTGGCTTATTTCACTGAGCATAATACCCTCTAGCTCCATCCATGTTGTTGCAAATGGTAGGGTTTGTTTTCTTCTTGTGGCTGAATAATATTCCATTGTGTATATGTACCACATCTTCTTTATCCATTCATCTACTGATGGACACTTAGGTTGCTTCCATTTCTTGGCTATAGTAAATAGTACTGCAGTAAACATAGGAGTACATATATCTTTTTTAATCTAGGATCCTGCATTCTTAGGGTAACCTAGGAGTAGAATTCCTGGGTATTTTTAGTTTTTTGAGGAACCTCCATACTGCTTTCCACAATGGTTGAACTAATTTACATTCCCACCAGCAGTGTAAGAGGGTTCCCTTTTCTCCACATCCTTGCCAGCCTTTGGCCATCCCAGCTGGTGTGAGGTGATATCTCATTGTGGTTTTAATTTGCATTTCTCTGATGATTAGCGATGAGGAGCATCTTTTCATGTGCCTGTTGGCCATCTGAATTTCTTCTTTGGAGAAGTGTCTATTCAGATCCTCTGCCCATTTTTTAATCGGATTATTTGCTTTTTGTTTGTTGAGGCATGTGAACTCTATGTATTTTGGATGTCAACCCCTTATCGGATATGTCATTTACAAATATATTCTCCCATACTGTAGGCTGCCTTTTTGTTCTGTTGATGGTGTCCTTTACTGTACAGAAGGTTTTTAGTTTGATGTAGTCCCACTTGTTCATTTTTGCTTCTGTTTCCCTTGCCCAGGGAGATATTCTCATGAAAAAGTTGCTGATGTTTATATTTAAGAGAGTTTTGCCTATGTTTTCTTTTAAGAGTTTAATGTGTCATGTCTTATGTTCAGGTTTTTGATCCATTTTGAGTTTACTTTTGTGTATGGAATTAGACAGTAATCCAGTTTCATTCTCTTATGTGTAGTTGTCCAGTTTTGCCAACACCAGCTGTTGAAGAGGCTGTTATTTCCCCATTATATATCCATGGCTCCTTTATCATATATTAATTGACCATATATGCTTGGGTTAATATCTGGACTCTCTAGTCTGTTCCATTGGTCTGTGGGTCTGTTGTTGTGCCAGTACCAAATTGTCTTGATTACTGTGGCTTTGTAGTAGAGCTTGAAGTTGGGAAGCTGTTTTATACAAATGTTAAGAGAACCATTACAGGTGTGATTTGCGTAAGGCATTCACTTGGATTCCTTCAGGTTGTTACCTGGGGCAGTGGGCATTTGGAGCACTATATTTCAACTGTGGTCTTGGGCATCTGGTTTAAAATGCAGATTCTGGACCACACCCGAGACTCAAAGGAGCAGGAGTCTCCTGGGGTGAGGCCCAGATGTTTGCCTGTTAAATCCTGGGGGACTCTAGTACTCCTGATATAGAGGACCACTGTGGGGTTGGGCTGCTGGATGGTGGGGTCTCAGGGGCTTAACCCTGAGGCTACAGGATTTTTCTCAGGTTTTTGGGGGTTCAGGTTTCAAGGCAGGTCAGGAAGTACTGTCCTCTCCATATCAAGATGCTGTAGTGGCAGGAAGAGGCTGTGAACACCATCTACATCCTCTGCCCTCCTACAGAAGATGAGACCAAGGATTCAGGACTGACTGAGCCATGAGAACAGGAATAGAGCCTACAGACCTAAATTTCTATGTTGCTTTAGCTCCATGGTCCCTGGCTGAGATTCTAAAAAGTAAAAATAGAGGGGTCCTTGAGCTTCTCTTAGCATCCCAGAAGACCCAAAGGAATTCATACCTTTCCTGGATGATACTTGGCAGCTTTGACTAGAGCTGTATTAACGTAGTGTTTGATTCCAGTTACCTCATGCTTATCAGAAGCTGATTCATCTGTTCTTTCATTCATGCCTCTGACCAGCCATCCCTCCCTCCATTCATTCATTCATTAAGTAAGCATTTGCCACTGTCCACTCCGTGCCAGGCTGTGTGCAGGGTTCTGGAGAAGCAAAGATGAGTAAGACTGGGTCCCTGTTCTCCACAGCTCCCCCATGCACCGGGGGTGGGGTAAGAGTTGCAGTGGTCTTATGATGGGGCCTGGTAAGGGAGAACTGATCTCTTATTAACTGAAAGTTAATGGATTCTTCACAGATGCAGTTCTTCTGGTTGGTAGGCTCTTTCCTTACAAAACTTAAATTCAGTTTGTTTCAAAGGTAACAATATTCAAACAGGGCCAGAGGATGCACAATAAAGTATGATCTTTATCAAATCCCACCTTTCTCCCCAGAGGCTAACACTGCTAATATTTCTTGGTAGCTTTCCAGAAAATTATTCTGTATGTTCATGCATAAAGAGAGAATGTCTTCCCTGCCCCCAGTACACAGAAACATTGTTATTAACCCTGTTCTGTAACTTGGTTCTTTTTAGTTAAACAATATGGTCTGAGGAGTGGCCTTTCCCAGTACCCACCCTTCAACACTTGCCCTATTGGTGGACATTTGGGTTGTTCCCAGAATTTTAAAATTATATATAGTGCAGGAGTAAAGATCCTGACACATAGAGTCTCTCAGTTCCTGGTGTCCAAAGGGAGAAAATGAAGAGGGGTTGTTTGGTGGTGAAAATGTGAAAACTGAGCCCCTCTCCCTTCAAGTTTTAGGGCTGAAATGATACAGAAAGAGCTGCCAGCCAGGAAGTTCTCATCCCTGCTCCATCCTTCTGTGTCCTTCCCACAGCTCTCGCCTCCCATGACTACATCTTGAAGATCGTGCCCACTGTTTATGAAGACAAGAGTGGCAAGCAGCGGTACTCTTACCAGTACACGGTGGCCAACAAGGTATGCGGGTGGCGGCTGCGTCCAGCTGCGTGCAATCTCGCCCCCTGCTGGCCAAGAGCGGGGACACAAGTGTGTGGGCATGAATTCTGCTTTTTCCCCTTCAAGGGTCCTTTCCTGGGAGCCTGCTCTGGCCAGGCTCTGGCCGTGGAAAATGATAGGAGGCTGAAAGGAATCTCCTGGGAAAACCAGAAGATAGTTTGTGATAGGTCACGATCTGTTTGACAAGGAGCAGGCAGGTGGCCTCGCTGAGAGGTCTCAGGGGTTGCAGGTGTCTCCACAGCCTGGCATCTGGCCCAGTCCTTTAGACACCAAGCACTGATATGTCAGCACACACAGATGCTCTGCCTCAGGCCAGTAGCACTTTATCCAATACCATGAGACTCTTGAATCACACTGAGTGGCTGTTGGTTAGCAGGATTGTCCTAGGACTCCGATACTCAGAGTCATGGAAAAGCAGGCAGGTGTCAGTGAGAAGCAGAGCATGGTCAGAGTCAGCCACGGGCTTCAGGAGATGACCCTGCCAATGGGGTGTGAATGCTTGACGCGGATTGGTGGAGGCACCGTCTTTACCACCAGGATGCTCCTTTTTCTTCTGTTCCAGGGCTGCCCAAATCCCTTAAAGATGATATATTGTTTAGTTAAATTGGTAATAATAATAATAATAATAATAATAGTAAAGCTATTATTTATTAAGCACTTACTATGGGCTGGACATTGTGCTAAGCTCTCTGCCTCCATCATTTTTTTTCAATCATCATGACAGCTCTGATACTGGGACTTTTTGTCCCCATTTGACAGATTTGGCCACCAAGGCACTGAGAGGTAGTCATAGAGCTACAAAGTGTCCAGGTGGGGATTGGAACTGGCTTCTCCTTGGGCTCCAGAGCCTGGCCTCTTCATCACATCACCTATTCAGTCTGAAAAAGGGGCTATTGAGTCTGCTGGGCTGGGTGTTACTCTTTCTTAGGTAACTTGAGATCTGTCTGCTTTGTCCCACCTCTGCTGATCTGGTGTAACCCTCCAAAGGGAGTCTGTTTCTTTTATTCACTGTTTCTTGGAAGCTGTCTTATTGTAACTGTCAAGTGCTGACAGCATCTAATAGATGAGAGAGCATGGATGGAGTCTGAGCAGAAAGAGTGTGGGCTGTGGAGCACACTGCTGGTTCAAACCCAGTGCAGGCACTTGCTGTGTGACTGGGACAAGTCACATAACTGCTCTGTGCCTCAGTTTACTCATTTGTATAAAGGGATAGTGCCCACCTCATAAGATTGCTATCAACTGAGGCAAATCAGTTGTACGTTTTTAAAATCACGTACAAGGAAGGCTTTGGGCAAATTGTCTCTACTGCTGCTATTTCTCATTATTTTCCTCTGTCCCTCAGTTCTGGGTTGTGAACCAGACAGTCACCCTGCCCTATCAGCTATCCCTGGAGAAAACTGATCGTGTTTTGCCTAAGATTCCTTCCTCTGAGGCTTCGGCAAGGGTCCAGCAACCAGAAGAGCTTGCTCAGCTCTCCCTGTGGCCTTGGCCCCAGCCTGCCCTGTGAGCATGCAGAGCTGCACCCCTCAGGGCTGGTGGCCATCCATCAAGGAGGGCGGGTCTTGGGGGTATCCCTTGAGAAGCCTCCGAGCTTAGGCCCCAGGATTTGGGCTTGGGGTGCCCCTGGGGTTCAGTTTGGTCTCCAGTTATTGTACATGGATCAGAGTAGCCCAGAGGTTTTCAGCATCCTGAAGTGGCCAGACTGGAGAGGATACCCATTAATTCAGCCCCTTAGCATCCTTTTAGTTCCAGCCAATGCCTCCTCAGGAAGCCTTGTGGTAGGGCTGAGCCCTCTCACTTTCCAGTTCTGTGGGGTGTGGGTATTCCTTCTTTGAAGACACCTGCTCCCACATGGCCTTTATACTTCTCTCTCTCTCTCTCTGTCACACACACAGACACACACACATGCACACCCCACAGAATGTCATGGGTAGCATAGAATGTTCCTTCCTCATGAGGCCTTCAGATGCCTCTGGGAGAACTGGTTGTCCATTCATGACCCTCTCAGCGCCCATGTCCCTCCGTCACGCATGTACAATGTTGCAGTATTGCAGATATTTTCCATCTGCCTCTTCCAGACTGTGACTCCCTCGGGAAAGGGGTGGGGTTCACTCCCCTCAGGGTCCCCAGCAGCCAGCACAGGGCCAGCACACAGGGGAGTTGCTCAGTAAACTAACATTGAGTAAATGAATGGATTTTCCATCATCCAGAAGTTGAAAGAAAGGTTTTTAACTCAGACTGAGCCCCAGTCACACTTGTCCTTTCATATCTCGTGCTCAGATTCATATTTTAGGCTGGGGTGCTTCCAGGTCATATAGTCAACTTTCAAGTAGCCACAAGGGTCAGAAATGCCCCCAGTAATGTTATCTAGATACATGCTGATGGCAGAGGCTCCAGGGGAAAGGGTGGGCAGGAGGGACCCGTGGAGCCTGGCTCTGGCAGGGAGAGAAAGGGAGGAAAGCCCATTCTTGTGGTTTGTCAGGGACCCTCTGAAATGCACCCCCACCCACCATGAGACACAGTTTGTGTGTATGATTCTCACACGCCCCCCTCCTCTTCCCAGGAGTACGTTGCCTACAGCCACACGGGCCGCATCATCCCCGCCATCTGGTTCCGCTATGACCTCAGCCCCATCACGGTCAAGTACACAGAGAGACGGCAGCCTCTGTACAGGTTCATCACCACGGTGAGTGGGTGAGGCACCTGCCATGGGCTCCTTCTCTTGGCACCCCTATGGGTTCTCAAAGAAATAGGATCCAGCCTGCAGGGCTGGGGGCTCAGGCTGTGCACAGAGGGCTTTGATCCCTAGGATTTTTAGAAATGTCATCAGAATCACATCAATATTGATGGTGTTTCATCAAGAAAATATTTTCCAGAGGGGGAATGCCACTGAATCAGTTTAATTCCTTAAGCATATCTTTATATGACTCAATCAGATGTTCATGATTTTCTACAATTTTTTTATGGAAATTATTCTTAGCAGGCTTTATCTTTTTCTGTGTGAATTTTACAGTGAAGAAATTTAACTCATTTTTTTTCCATGTCTCTTTTCCAATTATAGCTGTTGAGATTGTCAGGTTTTTTCTTTATTTTTGCCATTGTCTCCATCAAGTCCAGTTTTCTGTGGAGCAACTTCAAGATGATGTCAGTTTTCTTTGATGCTGATCATTTCTGTCATGTGTACTGTTTCCTGGCCTCTGATTCAAAATGTCCTGAGGGTCAGAACAGCAGGGGCATAGTGTTCTGCTTCAGCCAAGAGGCCTGGAGATGTTTGGTAAGCCAGAGTCGGTGGAGGTAGAAGAGATGGGGTGATTAGCCCTACCCCACAGATTTGGAAACTGAGGCCTAAATGCTCTTATGCTTCTATACTTCCTCATACTTCTTTCTTTTGTAACTTCTTCCTGCTTTTAATAATGATTCAAGATCAGAGGTGTAGTTCTGGGTCTTTCATTTCCAGCTCTGACTAGATTTGTATTAGTCAGGACTCTGCTGAGCAAGAGACAGACCCCACATCAAGTTGGCTTGAGGGCTGGTAGGCCTCAGGCATGGCACAGACATTGTCTGAAGTAGGTCTTTCTTCATCTTGCTTTCCCCTGTGCTGGCTCATTTTCTTTTTTTTAATTTTATTTTTGGTATCATTAATATACACTTACATGAACAACACTGTGGTTACTAGATTCCCCCCATTATCAATTCCCCACCACACACCCCATTACAGTCACTGTCCATCAGCATAGTAAGATGCTATAGAATCACTACTTGTCTTCTCTGTGTTATACTGCCTTCCCCGTGCCCCCCCCAACTACATTATGTGTGCTAATCGTAATGCCCCTTTGTCCCCCTTCTCCCTCCCTTCCCACCCATCCTCTCCAATCCCTTTCCCTTTCGTAACTGTTAGTCCATTCTTGGGTTCTGTGAGTCTGCTGCTGTTTTGTTCCTTCAGTTTTTGCTTTGTTCTTATACTCCACAGATGAATGAGATCATTTGGTACTTGTCTTTCTGTGCTGGATCATTTTCAAATAGAATTTACTAGTATAAAGTGCCTCTTTCTTCATAATTTTGTCCCAATTCCTGCATGGAACACGCAGCACTGGCATAGGCCTGACTCAGATTCCATGCCATGGTTGCGGCCTGGAGAACGAGTGGAGTGGTCCAGTTGGCCAGCCCCACCCAGACCACAAGGACAAAGATTGTGAGGGGGCAGCCTTCCCCAAGGGAAAAAACCCCCAGGGCCAGTTTCTAGAAGAGGGAGGAGTGGTGCTAGGAGGCAGAGAGGTCAGGTGTCCGCAAGGTCTCCCTCTTGTAATCTATGAAATAAGAATAATAATCCTTGCTCTTCCTCCCTCCCAGCACCTTGTGGGACTCAAAGCAGATCATGAAAGAGAAGCTTTGTAGTTACAGAAAGCCAAGTAGATACAAAGGTATCAACAGTCCAGTGCTTATATGAACTTCAGAAGAGCCTTTTGCTGTTCTCTGACTCCATAAAAACTTGAGACTTCTGATCTACAAAGGGTCCTTAACATAGAGCTAAGACACCCGACACAAACTGGAATAAGCTACTTGCCACACATATAAGAAAGGAGTAATCTTCAGAATTCATATCTAAATAATTCGTGTAAGTCAGTAAGAAAAGCTAAGTGACCAAAAAGAAAAATAGGTAAGGACTTGACCATCCACAGAAGAGACCATACTGGCATCCGAAGATGCCCAAATCCACTAGAAGTTGGAGGAATAAGATTCAAAACAAGAGTCAGTTCAATCCTATCAGAGTGGCAGAAATTAAAGACCAGCCACCATTAAAACTGGGAGGATGTGAGGCAGGGGGAACCTACATGTACTATCTGGTGCACAGGAAAATTGGGTCAGCCCCTTTGGAGAGAGATGTATAAACCCTTTGACCCAAAAGTCAGAGAATTTGTGAGCAAGTGATTTTCTCCAAGGCCTCACAGAGTAGCACCCCAAGTGGGTCTTGGTGCCAATTCTTATCCCAGTACTTCTGCAGCATACCTAGAATAAGACAAAAACTATGACACAAGTAGGTGCCTCTGCAGGTGAAGTCTTCTCCTCCAGAGGTCCTGGGGGCTGCAGCATTGACAGTGGCAGAGAAACCCCTATGCCCACACGTCCCTGTAGGGTTGAGAAGTTTCTTCAAGTCCCCCTTCCTGTTTACTCCCACTTGAAAAATAGTTGAGGCTCTCAGAGGTGAAGGCAAGTGGCTGAGAAATGAAGTGATGTGATTTATTCACTAAACGTTTGCTAGAATGTCACATGCCAGGCCTTCTGACGGGCAGCCGGGATAGTCGAATTAGATATGATCCTTGTCTGCAAGCTGCTCCCAGCTGCTGGGGGAGATGGGTAGGTGTCTAGAGAACTGCAGCCCTCTCCGGTGGGGCCCCAGGGAGCAGCGGGCCAGGCACAGCAGCGATGGCAAAGTTTCCTTCTGCTTGGGGGAGGGAACCCTGAGATGTGTCTTGAAGGGTGCAGAGACGTTTTGCACATGGGTACGTGGAGGAGAGATCTTAGCAAAGGGAGTAGTACATCGGTACTATTGTACAGATGGTACATGCAGAGCTGTCTCACGCAGCATGTCTGATAAGGCCGTGCAGCCTCTTTGATGGGAATGGACTTCTGGGAGCTGGAGGTCCCAGGAAGTCACAGGGAAAGAGCCTGTCCTTCATCAGCCAGAAGCCAAATGTCTCCGTGACTCCATTTCCTTCTTCCTCCTCCCTTTGCCACCAGCCTTTCCTCTATCTCTGCCCCATCTACCTCCACCCGAGCATGGGCCATGCTGCAGGGAACTCCCTGACATCATTAGCCAGGTGGTTTTTCTGAAGGCCCCAGGCCACTGTCTTGGTTGCTATAGCAGCCATGGGATCAGCCCCAAGTGGGCCAGTGGCTGTCCCTGGCAGATGGCGTCATTGTGGAGCTTCAAAGGCCCTTGTCACAGGGTGGCAGATGTGGGGATGACGCTTGCATGCAGACACAGCACAAAGACCTCCGGGAGCCCTCGCAGGGTCGGGTGGGGCGAGGACGGAAGTAGCAACACCTGCTGTGACTACTCTTTTTCTCTTTTTAAAAAATCAAACACTTGTGTGCAAAGCCCTCAAACCCCAAATGGGAGCCTCTGCAAATAGCTCCTCAGAGTGGTTGCTGAAGAGGGGGCTTAGGGCAGATGTCGTCATGTGATTGCTGAGGGGCTGCAGAGGCAGCTGTGGGTAGGCTGGAATGAGGAGGGTGCCACTGGCAGTGGGGTGGAGGGGAGAGGCAGGTGGGGCCTCTCTCATTCATTTTTAAGTACCGACTACCTGACTTATTCAGGGTTGCCCATCCATGGTCTCCTGGTGTGCAAAGGACCTGTTCGTCCTGAACCTGAACAGAGGAGGGTTCCTCCTCCCAAAATCACCAGCCTGCCTGGGGCTCCTCTCACTGGGCACCCAGAGCACCTAGCTCAGTCCTGTGCTTATGCTATTCCAGAAAATTCCACCACTAAGGGAATAAACAGGTGGTCTTTAACAACAGGCAAGTGCTCCCCTTGAAAGTGTCCTCTCCCACACACACACACACACACACATTTGTCCCCTGCCATTTGCTGGAGCCCCTTTTTCGAGATTGCCTTCAAGTAGGCTGTTGTGACAGATTGAGTAGCTTCAGAGGTGTCACATCACTTTCCTTGTGTGTTTTATTCTATTTGGGGGAACAATCAAAAGTCTCAAAGCACCAAACTGGGCCATGGCAGTTTTTGCCCACCACTAAGTACCCGTTGGTATTTACATGCCTCCCATTGCATGGGAAGAAAAAAGCTCAGCAGAGGTGGCTGAATCAGACATAATACCTGCCCTCAGGGTGCTCCTTGCCAGTGAAATAATTGCCCAGACTTCATATCACACTTCATAGTTGCCAGGCGTGATTACAATAAGCTTCAAGTCTAATTCACCTCTGTGTACCCAGCATCCTGCACTGGGCCTGGCCTGGACATAGGTGCTCAGAAATATACAAAGGCGGCTGCTTGAAGAAGTGATTGTTTAGCTGTGCTTATTAAGCATCTACTATGTACCAAGTAATTTTATACTTATCTCCTTTATCCCTTCTGGGAACCCTCCAAGGTAGAGATAACATCATTTCTGTTTTATGTATGGATTAACTGAGGCCCAGAAGGGTAAAGAAATCCATCCATGATTTCACACAGCCAGTAAATGGCAAGGCTGGGACTTGACCCCATTGCCTGCCTCTGCCACATCCCCCCACCCCCCAGCTTAGAAGCCTCCATCTCACAAAACAAAGGCTCTCAGCAGCAAAGCCCACAGAAGCCCTGTAACCAACCCTTGGGAGGACACTGGGATCTTTTGTTACAGTGCTTTCCACCCTGGGAATCAGGAAGGAGTTTTTATACAGCATTAAACAAGGTGATCTGTAAGCATGTGTGATAGTCACAGTCACTCTGTACAAACCATTAAAACAAAGGAACCTATCCATCCAAGACTGCTGGCTGGTGAATTGCAAATTTTCCTTCCCATATCTGACTACTTTTCTTTTCTTTTTTTTTAAATTAAGGTATCATTGATATACACTCTTATGAAAGTTTTACAAAACAATGTGGTTATTACATTCACCCATATTATCAAGTCCCCCCCATACTCCATTGCAGCCACTGTCCATCAGTGGAGTAAGATGCCACAGAGTCACTAC